TGCTTAATGATTCTGTCGACCTTTAGACATGAAAACCTTCAAGTCATGGAAATCTGTACTTTGATTTGGGTTTGCAAGACGCCAAACATTGACTCCGACTTAGCCAAGTCTGGGGTTGACTCACGTGGATTTGATTTGGGTAAATTTGACTCATTCCTCCTGACCCTGACAAGACCTTCGACCCTCTGAATCCCCTCATACTATGGACCTAGCGCCATGCAGCCCATCTTTGTTCTACCCGATTGGGACCAGAATCATGATACTATTGGTGTCCTTTTCCTCCAACAGGAAGGGGCATCATCACAATCGCCGTCGGCCAAGGAGCGGAATGGAACAGCATGGCACATACATAGAGTTGAGTGTCCCTCCCGACACGGTGCCCGCCCAGACGGAATGTCGTCTCCGATCGGCGCCAAGCATCACGATAAGCCCTTCTCAACGTGCTACGACATGGGCCCGTCTGGGGTAAATTACCGGATGCGGCAGCTCGATTAGACTCGCTGATTAGCCAAAATACCTGGTCCTTGTTTGCTTTCAGTTTCCCCCTTCCTGATGTTCCTACAAAAGTACCTAGGGCCGGACTGTGGCTACTGAGGTCTAGGCATTACGGTAGGAATTGGGAGCTCTAACTGGCCAGCCGACCACAGGGTTGATTCATCCTCGGTGTTGGATAAGAGTCACTTCCATGTGAAATGTGCGAACAACAAGAGGACACCCGACTAACCCATAGGTATGCCCTATCGCCAGAAGGGGCCGACATCCCACGCTCGGGAATAGCCGAGCAACGACAAGCAACTGTGCCCTGACAAGAAATCGACAAGACCTGTCACATCTGCGCCCAGAGCAATCTATCGCCCGGTTTCTGACTTGGCCACCCACCCATTTCGTTGTTATGCCGTTCTGCTACCGTTCAAGGACACCATCATCTGCACGCGGAAGGAATGTGGCAGCGGCAACCAACCTATCGATGTACCGCCGACCCACCATCGGTGACAGCCAGGTTGGCCGACCAGATCACTACCTAGGAACCAGGTGTTCTAAATAACATGTTACTCCTTAATAACCGCGTCAGTTTCGACTCCTCGCTCGTTCGTCTCGAATTGGTCTCCAACCCGACATCCGATAAGAGAAGCGCCGGGTAGCGATAACGTTATACAACCTAAAATGATGTGGTCCGCTTGCGTTTCCGAGTCGCTGTCGCTAATCGTCTATATTACCTTCCACTTTGGGCCACGAGGGTCGGGTCCCAGTGTGTATATTTAACTACCCTAGATTTGCTAGTGCCATGTTCCAACGGTCCTTTGAGCCGAACGATAGGCCGGGGGGGGGGATCAACTGGATGTGTTAGATTCCATCCAAACCGACTACATACGCGAGCTTAACATTAAGCTTCCAGTTTTGGGGTAGGCTCGGCGGTCTGGAATACCTCTAGGACCGGTCCATCTGGAGTCGCGTGGTCCGACTCACTCGGAGGTATGCGGGGTGCATCACCACCATTCTCTCACTGTGACAGACACAGTTGTGTGATAGCATCACCAGGGACAGGCCTGCATCAAGTTCCAACTTGCCTCTTTAGAGTTGCAATGGAATCCCGAAGGAATGGAAAGCGCAACCAACAAGCCGACTGAAAGCGGAACACGGCAGCAAGAGCGATGATAAGGATCGGGTTATGTTTTTTGTGCCCATATCACGACCTGTAGCCTACCCTGAATACTTTCTTCTGGCCCGGAAGTGTGTTCCGTCCGATTTCTTGGCTCATGGGACATATGGCAGTGGGAAGCCTGGCATACGACTTTGGTTGGGGTCGCCACACTACCTACACTACTGGTAGACTGGTGTATTGTCCCAGAATAACGATTCAACACCATCTCGTCATTGATAAGGCAGTATGATGGTTAGCGTGGAGATTCCAAAGTCTGATTGGGTTTCCCACCACACTTCGACGCCTGCTCAATTGTCTCTTCGCCATCCGCAACGTTGGCCGGCCCGACTGACCTCTTCAGACCAGCCCAAATGTCCACGAGCTTTCCCAGCTGTACTTCTGGCCAGGGCCGAGAATCTGCTTGTCGACCCTCCCCCATTCCGGGCTTTACCTTTAGGTCAGCCACCGAAAAAATCTGCTTGTCATTTCCTGAAGGCAAACTCACTGGTTGATACCATCGGGGTAATCCTGAGCCTCAATGGCGACACACGAGCTTCTACCGACGGTTCTGGGCACCGCCGTCCCATTCACCACAAGCTCTTGTGTGCTCTTCAACTGCGCGCTTCCGTCCATCCAATGGCAAGAATACAATACGACACCTGGTTGATCGGTCCGTAGATCGGCCTTGACGCCCGAGAACGGGCTCGCCAGAGAAACGACCACGGCATCCCTCGATGGCTTATCCTCGATCAACCAATACCCGTTATAACCCTCGCATGCGCCGTTGGCACCGCAGTTGCCTGCAAACCCCGGCTGATCGCGAGCGTGGCCCAGAGCGAGGCCGGCAGCACTGGCAAAGTCGTTGATGGAGCCCGGGGTCGCAGTCAGAATCTTGCCCGTGGGGAGGGCACCTTGGTCGGCTTCAAGGTAGCGCGCTGAGTAGGGCATATACAGGGTGTGATCCCAGATCTTGTCCGTGGCCGGGTTCTTGTAAGCGTCGAGGTTGAAGTAGGTGTGTTGAGTGAGAAGGACAGCTGGGTGGCATTCAGCATGGCAGCTTGCAACTACACAGTTAAGGGAGGTGAGTTCCTTTGGTGACTTACGAGTCTTCCTCTCGGGAGAAACAGCATTCATCTTGATGTGCCAGGTGTTCTTGCTCACAGAATAGGTCACAGTGGAATCGACACGGCCCAGCATGCCCAGCGACGAGTTGGAAGCATCGGAAATGGCAAAGGTTATGGAAGTGGGCGTGTGTTCGGTGACGTTCCAGAATCGGTACGACCAGTTGTGGGTGCCGCTGTGCAAAGTGTTGTCACCGTCATTCAACTCGGTATGGTACTCCTCACCGTCGATGGTGTACTTGCCCTTGCCGATACGGTTAGCATACCGACCTGGAATGGCATTGTACACAGGATGGCCCGGGTCCTTGGCTGTCGGCTGCGTCAGTGGATTTTGCTTCGGACTGGGAAAGCTTCGACTCGTCGGATCACGAACGGTAATAATCCACATCATCATACCCCAAAACCACGTCGACGTCTTTGCCATTCTTGTCCTTGACAAAGAGGTTGGTGAGAGTGGCGCCGTAGGGGATAAATTGCGCCTTGATTCCCGGAGCCGCAATTGTGTATCTTCCGTCGGGGTCGGGCTTAACGCCCTTGCCCGGACCGCCGAGAACTGTTGCCGCCTCCATGATAACGGCGAAATAGGTGATGATGGATTTCATTGCGTTTCCTCAGACGATGCTCAGAAACCCCATTGCACTGACCGCTTGATAACCGCTTCTACACGAGCATCACACCTTTTCTTTTTTGGCTTCCGGCCTCCTCATATATACCCCTCTTCATATCGTCCGTTTGCTGCTCCTCATCGTACCCAAACCTAACAGACCCGTCGGAGTCGCACTCAGGCAACCCAAGTCGCGAATCGGGAAACCATTCGGGCTTTTTCATCCGCTTGCAGGTAGACATTTTTCCAAACGAACAAGGTCGTATGCCCCATGCTAACATCAGATCTCGAATTTTCCGTGTCGTACCCCAGATTGAGAACGTAAAAGGCGGGATGGAAGTCTGGTTCCGCATGTTCCTAATCGGAAGTAGGCAATGAGGGGAAATGGCAAATGCTTAGGTACCTACCTACCCACGAGACCCTTGGTATTCCCTGAGCCCCTTGATTTGCCTTTTACTTGAGTGAGGGACAAGGTCCACAGCGTGTGATACACAACGTCAACAGACTGCATGTTAGCAACATTGAAAAAGCTTAGGAGGAGGGGCTTCTCATCACAGCCAAGAAGTGGGAAGATGTTTCAAGACCACGAGAGTACCACCTCAAAATGCAGGAGCGTCCTCAAGTGAGCGTAATGGGATGGCTATCGCCGTTTCCTTGCGCATATTAAACTGCGAGTTGGATGCAGTTCATGGGCGTGTCTCTCATGCAAAACGAAGTGGTTTTCTGTGGTTGGTCATAAAACTCCTCCTGCTCTACGAGCCAAATTTTCCGCCGGCATAAAGAGTGAGGGAGGTTTGGATAGGTCTATGTTTGGTAACTCGTCATATCAGCCGCGGTGCGCTTTCGTCGAAATTAATCTTGTGCCAGTCACACGGCAGCGAACATATATGACATACAGAGTGTTTACTAGGAGGTGTGTGTTAAGCTCGTATGGACGACAACTTCTACCTAGATTGTTGATACAGCCAACCAATTGACTTGCGATACCTACCTACTCTTAGCTTGGAAAAAAAAATCAGAAGATCAGGTCTCCCAACGTCTCCTATTAACATCGACAAGTAAATCCATCCTCCGGAGTCAGCATAACATGTTCTTGGCGTATCATCGAGAAACCTGAGACTTAGTCAAAGGCAGGCACCCGAGCTTCGTCAATGCCATTGTCGTTGCCACTGATTGAAGCCGAACGGTCCAGTTGGTCTCAAGAAGACGGGCTTCCTCCGGGTCCATATGATGCTCGGCTTTGTTTTCCAAGTTACATAGTCATAGCGTCTTTGTGGGAACTGGGAATCCTTTCTGAGTGCTCCTTATATTCGCCGGACTAGACCTCAAGGTGTTGTATACCTGATGTTTGTTCATGAGGGCCTAAAGCGCCGAGAATCCCCAAACATATATGCTTTAGTAAGACACGGTTGCTACTCGCTTCTTCACCGAAATGGAACCACTCAAGTTATTTCGGTTTGGTCTATTCCGAGAACTATATTTACAAACTCTTTCCCACTTGTCCTTGTATTCGGAACAAAGTGTTCGCAAATGAGTACGCCGTGTCTAGCCGATATCCGGCAACCTATGACTGCAAACCCATTGAAAACTTATCAAGCAAAACGCCGAATCCATGTAGTAGGTTACTGAGGGTATAGTGACCATGACTATCTAGCCAGCTCGTGAGAGCAAGTGCAAAAAGATCTAGAAAAAGTGATTCCACTCTAGTACAGTGGAAGAGAAGAGAACAAAGAACAAGTAGTAGAGAGAATGAAAAGAAATCGAACCATCAAACCAAATCGCACCGGAAAATCCCACCATCCATCGCTCAGAGAAAAATGGAAGACTCCTTCTTTCCTACGTCCTCCCAACTAGCCGACAAGGCGTTATCTTCGTCAGCGTCACCATCAACGCTGGTAGCAGTGCTGGCACTGGAAACCACAGTGGAAGTGCTGACAATCGAAACCACAGTGGCTTCAGTCAAAGTGCTAGCCGAAGCCTCGAGAGATGGAGTGGTGCTCGGAGCCGACTTGACCAAGCCACTAGCAGCCTGCAAAGTCTGAGAGCCAGCGGGGGTCTCCTTCTGTTCAGTAGGAGCAGTAGAATCCTTGGCTGCAGCACCGCGGGCGACCAAAAGATCACTGGCAATTCCTTCGCACAACTGGGAAATGCTGGTAGCGCTGAGGATCTTCATCACTGCAACATCTTGGGCGACCGTCTTCCATATCCAGGAGCGGATTTCGACTGCGATAAGAGAGTCGACACCAAGCTCCGTGACGCTGTTGGCAGGTGTGATTTCGCCCTCGGAAATCTGCAGAAGTGCCTCCAAGCGGCCGATAAAGGCAGGCACGTACACCTTCATCACGTCCTCTTTGGTGGTGGCGGCATCAAGATCCTCGGCAAGAGACTTGATCTGCTGGCCGGCAGAACCAGCGGCGGTTTCGTCCTCCTCGGGGAGGGTATTGTGAGAGAAACGAGGATCGAGTTGCCAGTGCTGATTCGGTGCGTCCATGCGGAATCGGTTCATGCCCGTAGTGATGTCGTAGACGGTGTGCCCCACAGGCTTTCCAGCAGCAATGGCCTCGAGGAACATATGATGAAGATCACGCTCGGAAATGGGTGGGTATCCCTCACGCTCGAGACCGGCGTACAGATCGTCCTTCTCACGGTGCAAGAAGCCAAGGCCGTAGACGACCCCAATGTTCAGAGCCGTGGCCGGCAATCCGCGGCACCGACGAGAAGCGGCAATGCCGTTCATGTACATGTTAGCCGCAGCATAGTTCGATTGACCGGCATGGCCGCCAATGGCAGCGAAAGACGAGGTCATGATGAAGAAGTCCATATCTGGAGAGTCGAAGACCGTGTCGAGATTTCTGGAACCGACCACCTTGGGATTCATGACACGATTCCAAGTCTCCACGGACATCTCGGAGAACACACGGTCGTCAAGAACCATGGCACCGTTGACCACGCCTCCGACAGGCGGCCAGGAATCTTCGGCAAGCTTCGTCTTGAAGGCAATCACCGTGTTGAGGTTGGTAACATCCATCGCCTCAAACTTGATTTTGATGCCGCGAGCATTGAGCTCCTTCTGCCACTGAGGCTGCTCCTTCGGGGGGTTTCGACTGCACAAGACAAGGTGACGAGCACCCTGCTCGATGAAGAGAGAGCAGAGGCTCTGGCCCATGTCGCGAGTAATACCGACCAGGACATAGGTCCTGTTAGGGCGAAGCATCTTCTCACCCACGATAGGCTTAATCATGTGAGCGATAGACCTCTCGGCCTTCCAGTCGAGCATCTGGAAAGCCTCACCAGACACAGTAGAGTCAAGCAACTTCGGCAAAGTGATGGGGTCCAGGATGTCGAAAGAAGGCTCGATGGCATCAAGCAGCATGCTCTTCATGCTGTTGTAAGAAAGCGCCACAGCCTCTTCCCAGAGCCTCTGAACGAATGCCGCGTTGGGGTGCGCCGTGAAGTGAGTCGAGATAAGTTTATCCTGGGTGAGATACTCGCAATTCTCAGGCACCGAGTCAACAAGCATGCGAGAGACGTCGTGAGTCTTGGGCAGCATGTTGACAATGCAAGCTCCGTCGAGGGGATAGAGGGCCTTGATCTGCCTTGAAGTCGACTGTGAATGAACAAAGGCCATATCGGGAACAACTCGACTACGACGCTCATCCGTGGAAGCACCCATAAACCAGATGCCGCGGTTGCTGAAAACTTCCTGGGCGCATTGGAAGAGGAGGCCATCCGGTTCGATGATCATGACAGCCTTGCCATTAGCCATGTCGACAATAGTGAGAGCGTAAATATACCTGCTGAGCAAGCTAAGGTAGAGCGGCTCACAGACGCCGACAGTGCCTTCAGGGAGCGTGCTAAAGATTGTAGAGGCAGTCGAAATGAAGGACTTGTTCGATTTAGAGAGGGCAACTTGAGCCTTGCCAGTCTCGTTGTTGCGGCCAATGCAGATATGACCGGAGCAAATGCCTCCAACATTGAACACGTTGACAGTGCTGTAGTCCACGTGCATCGCCGATTCGGCATGCGAAGGATAGGATTTGCTCTTCTCGACCCGAGTCTCGTACCGGCCAGAGGCTGAAGCGAGGACCTCAACAACGTCTTCCAGAGTGTTGACTGTATCGGTCACCACGCGGCGAGGCGCATTGACACGCTGATTACCCTCTTTCCACGGGAGAACGCGAGGAACGATCAAGCGGCCACCCTCAACGTGTACCTCGTGCTCACGAACCCACAGGGGCTCATCATCCTCATTCTTGGGGCCGAGGAAATAAACGATGAAACGAGCAAACGTCTTGGACACGGCGCGAACAGCCGGACAGGTATCAATGGTGTCGAGATCGAGCATTTGTATATGCAAGCCAGGGACTTCACCGGTAACCGTTCGAGTGAAGCCAAGCGATGCGGCATGATCGGGGTTGTTGAACCTGGCATTATGGGTAACCCACATGATGAGCATTTGGGGGCGCAGCAAGGACCGAATGGTGTCCATCCGCTCGGCCGTCATATCAGCAAGAATAGGCTGGTCAATATCGCCAAGGATGATGGCTGCGGTGCAAGATGAGAGCAACTCATCATTGTGGATATCCTCCAAGGAGTCGACAGCGGTGATCTTTGCACAGAAAGAGGCAAGTTCCTGGAAAACACCAGAGGAAATGCAAGACGTCCAGACCTTCTTACCACCCACGATCAGAAGATGCTTCACAAGAGGAGTTGCGGTGGCGTGATGCAGAGGCCAGAGCAGTTGCTTCTTCCTCTGTGACATTGCCTGTCTTACACTGAGAGTGAATCCAGGATTGAACCACATATCCGAGTTCTTAGCAGTGTTCTCGAATCCGCAATCTTCGATGAGATCAGGCCAGTCAGGAGGTGTGGCGATTCCGTCGTCGCTCGAAGTACGGCCAGCGCAACGAAGCATCCTCTCCTTAAGCGGAGTACGAGATGCATGGACGACAACAAGAAAGCCGCCAGGACGCATCGAATCCCTGATAAGCTGGAGCGCGGAATGAGTCTTCTTGTTGTCGAGGATGGACGTGTTGAGGACCACAAGATCATAAGGTCCTCCGGCAGATTCAGCATCGCTCTCGAAGTCAACCTCGTCAATCATGATCTTCTTGCGAATCCCTTCGGCAAGAGGAGTACGCTCCTTGAGGTTTGTCTCAGGCTTGCCACCAATGCGGTAGCTAAGGAACGATCCATCGAGTGCTGCCATAATATGCTCGGTCAAGCCCAATTCGGGATCAGTCAGGCCAAGAATGTTCATGCGAGGGTACTTGTGAACGATCTGGCGAACAACACGGCCGACCTGCTTCTGAAAATAGGCGAGCTGCTGTGCCTCTTGAACCAAGGTAGGGAGCATGCCCGGAAGGACGTCAGGGAGATTCTCTCCCAGGTGACGAACAAAGTCGAGAGTCATGAAGTAGGGAGAAGAACGGATGAACTTCTCCAGACTCTGCTCGGTCTCGTTGGGCCAGGAGTTGGAAACCAAGCGAGTCTCGGTCTGGTAACCCGCTGGCTCAAGCAGATCCCTGGGCGTCTCCTTGAGGCATTTAAGCGCAGCACGCTCAACGTAAAACGAGGCAACTCTGGCACAGCTCTCAAAAAGCATGGGGCTCACGCCATTGAGGGCTTCTGGTGGAGAAGCAACGATCTCATCCTCAGGGTCAAGTTCGTAGACGGTAGTGAGATAAAGCTCCTTATCATTCTCGGGGCGAGTCGATGTGAAGGAGCCAACGGTGAGACCCTCAATTTGAATCTCTAAGTCGCCCTCGGGGTTGTAGATGTTGATCTCAGCTGTGAACGAAGCTGCAGCCGTTTTGGAGAAAGGAGTGCCTTTGGTAAGATAGGCATCAACAGCAAGGTCATCATCGCGCACACCGCTGCGACAGGTAGCAAGGTTGAACTTGACACGACTCATCACCTTGGGAAGGAACGAAGTCCACAGGGACCTATGAAAGCGGTTAGTAAAACGGTAAATGATTAACAAACAGAAGAGAAAACTTACCCGTCACCGGGAGAAGAAACAGTGAGGAACGCAGTCTGCAAGCAGCTGTCCAGCGTGGCAGGGCTGATGTCCAAGCCAGTCTGGTCATCTGCATGGAACCTCTTCACAGTGCCAGAGGAAAACTGATAGCGACGCTCAATGGCTGTCAATCCCTTGAAAGGTCCGTTGTAATCCAGACCTGTACCTGCCATCATCTTGTAGAACGCCTCGGGTTGGGCGGTGAGGGTCTCAGCGCGCTGCGCAGGACGATGGCACAGTGCGTTGGGAGACTTCTCTCCGAGGACAATATGAAGCTGTCCACTGAAATTCAGCTTCATGTCAATGGTGCCGTCAGCAGGCGCCGAGGTCAGCGTAAATAAGGCCTCGATAGTGGCGGCGTTCTTGGGAGAATTGGACACCACCAAAGAGAAGAGGGTCTCAACACCGGGAGACTCAGGCTCGAGCGTGATGCCAGCCATAAACTTCAAGTCGCGCAGCTCGACAAGAGAAGCGGCGCGATTGCCCAAGAGGACGCGTGCAGCATCCAAAACCATAATACAGTATGCTGAAGCCGGAAGCAGCGCCTGTCCTTGGAATTTGTGGCCCTGGGCCCATGGGAGCTTGGCGTACTTCATGATGTTGCGCCATCTGAGCTCATGCTCGTTGTCATCCCTGGTACGAATACCAAGAAGCTCATGGGGTTTGTGGGTCCTGAAGTGATACTGACGAGAAATGCGTGACTCGCGGTAGTAGGTATGCGAGTGGTCCCAAGGATAATTCGGACCCTGATGGAAACGAAGGTGAGCCAATTCAGGATTGACTGAGCTCTGAACAAACTTCTCAATCAATGATGATGATGAGCCAAAGTTGGACCACATCCAGCCCAAGAAGTCCGCAAAAGCAATGCGATCGTCGAGCTTCCTGTCGAGAAGACCAGAGTAGATAATGGCCTCTCCCGACTTGGCCTTCATGGTCTGAATGACGGGGCCGCGCAGGGCAGCGTGAGGTCCAACCTCGATGGCACAGTCAAAGGGACCTTGTCCTTCCAGAGCAGTGCTGACAGCCTCGAAGAAAAGGACTGCATTGACCATGTTGTCGCGCCAGTAGGAGGACGCGAGCTCTTCGGAAGTGGGCTCACCATGACCGTAGACGCTGGACACCCAGGTGGTGCCGTTGCCGTCCTGCAATGGAGCTATGTTGCAAGCCTTGAGGGCCTCAATGTACTCAGTAGCAGGGCGCACCATGTGAGGCGAGTGATAGGCTGTGTCGACCTGGAGCATCCTCGCAAACTTCTTCTCGTCGACAAGGTGATCATGGACCTTTTGCACGATGTCAAGGTCGCCTGACAAGGTGACACTGCTGGGTCCGTTGCTGGCAGCAACGCAAACGCGGCTGCCAAACTGAGGCAGGGCGCAGAGCTCTTCGGCTTCTGCCTTCGTCAAACCTGCAGCCATCATGCCACCCAGACTGCCCTGGGTACCGCTGGCGAGGTGAGCGTATTTTCCGCGATAATAAGAGATGAGAATCGAATCGCGAGCTGAAAGTTTGCCCGCCGCGTAAGCCGCAGCGATTTCGCCGGATGAATGACCGACAACGGTATGGAAAGTAATGCCTAAGTGAGCGAGGAGATCAATGAGGGCGATCTGGACCGCGGTGCAGAGAGGCTGGGAGATGGCCGCCTTCCCAACTCTAGAGAGACTTGCATCGGCCATGATCTCCTGTTCAAGGAACCACGAGGGCGGGTGAGGGCAGGCCTGAAGGACCTGGTCGAGGTTCCGAATGGACTGAGCATAAACGTTGTTGCTCTGCAGTAAAGCACGAGACATGGTGGCCCACTGAGCACCTTGGCCGGTAAAAATACCCAGGATCTTGGGGACATCGGTCTCGGGGCGAGCGCGGACACTGATTGTAGCCGCTTTGCCAGCATCGGCCTTTGCAATCAAGGTGTCAAGACCCTTCATAATGTCGGACAATGAAGATCCGGTAACGACAGTGCGGTAGGGGAAAGCGGTGCGGTTCTTGTACGCATGCCACGCAGCCTCCTCAAGAGGCAACGACACCTGCTGCGCGAGGTAATCGCGATAACACTTGGCAACAGCGCCCATAGACCTGGGCGAGCTGGCGGAAAGGACCAGGGGCAGACGAATCTGGCCATCAGCCGAAAGAGAGCCCGAATTGATGAGCTTGGGCGCAATGAGGGTCGGAGCAAAGATCTTGGCGACCGGGTTATGAATCTCCGGAACGTACATCTCCTACACAACCATTAGAATTAGATCAGGCAGCAAGACAATCAAAGGGTCGTGAAACTTACGCAAATTGCACTCGAGTTGGTTCCTCCGAATCCGAAGGAATTAACAGTGGCACGTCTGGGCTGGCCAGCCGGGACAGAAGGCCAGGCAAGGGCCTTGGTGGGCACATGAAGGTGCGAGTAGTACTTGGCGACAGCTGGCTGAAGTCTGTTGAAGTGCAAGTTAGGAGGCACAGTGCCGTTGATCATGGCATGAACCACCTTGAAGAGACCAGCCAATCCGGCAGCACCTTCGGTGTGACCGATGACAGTCTTGACAGAGCCCACAAGCAGCTTTGACACTTCGGCCGTGTCTTGGCTCGAAGTGCTGACGTTACGGCCGAAAAAGGCATCCTCAATCGCTCTAGCCTCATTGGGATCTGCGGAAAACTATGAGCTGATTTGATCGAATGGAGAGATGAAGGGGAAGAAAACTTACCACCAGCAGCAGTGCCGGTACCATGAGCCTCGAAGAATTGGCAACGATCAATGGGGTCTCTGGCGTTCAAGCCCGAGCGACGATAGGTGTCTTGGATGAGGGCGGACTGTGCCTCCCAGTTGGGCATCGTGATGCCCTTGCTGCGGCCGTCAGAGTTGACACCGGTCTCGCGAATGATGGCCTCAATACGATCGCCGTCGGCCAAAGCCTTGCTAAGAGGCTTGATGAAGATCGCGGCGACACCCTCGCCACGTGCATAACCATCAGCGCGATCGTCCCACATGTGGCAGCGGCCAGTGGGACTAAGCATGTGCAAGCTCGATTCGACGACGAACTGCTCAGGGGTGAGAATCAAGTTGACACCTGAAACACATGCCATCTCAGCCTCACCCGAGCGGAGAGAGAGGACGGCCTGGTGAAGAGCGACCAGACTGGAAGAGCAGGCAGTGTCAATGGTCATAGAAGGACCATGGAAGTTGAAGAAGTACGACACGCGGTTCGAAATAATGGAGCGAGCATTGCCAGTGGCGTAGTACTGGCTGACGGAAAGATCATCGCGCTGAGAAAGGGTGTCGTAATCGGCAGTCATCACACCAGCGAAGACGGCGACCTTCTTGCCAGAGTAATCCTGGAGGGTGTAGCCAGCGGACTCGAGAGCCTCGTACACTACCTCTAGCAGCATGCGCTGTTGGGGATCAATAGCTTCAGCCTCCTTCGGGGTGATGTTGAAGAAGCTGGCATCGAAGAGGCGATGGTCCTGTTCGATGAAGTAGGCCTTGGCCGAATTGGTAGTGCCGTGATACTCGCCATCGGGGTGGTAGAAGCCCTCGACGTTGAACCGATTCTTGGGGACTTCGCGCGTAAGATCCTTGGGATCCTTCAGAAGCTCCCACAGCTTGGCGGGGGATGTGGCTTCGCCCGTAAAGCGGCAGCTGCTGCCCACAATGGCGATGGGCTCAGACAACGGAATCTTGTAAGACATTATGATTGTTGTGAGGATTCTGTAATTCTAAGGAGGAATGGTAGGGCGAGAAAAATTAGATATCTAGTACTGGACCGAACGCCGAAAAGCAAGAGAACAGAAGAAAAGTCGTTCCTCAGGTCGTAAGTCGTGAGTCGTCGTTCTCGCAGAGAAGGCGCAGGTATGTACGTGGTACCGAAAGAAAATGCTGGTAAGCAAGAAGACGGAGAAAGCCAACGCCGAAATGCTCTGCTAAGTGGCAGAGGAGAAGTTGTCTCGAAAGGAAGGGTGGGTTGTTTTTGTGTGGTATTTGTATGAAGAAGAAGAGGGTGGAAGTCGGGTTGAGAGAGAGCGAAGTCCAGGCACGACTGGAGGGGTACTAGTAGAAATCGTTTTCGCCGGGCATTGAGTGAAGGGCGAGTGGGCAGAAGGAAGGCGGGGACCACCACGGTAGTGAAGGTCGATTTCGATGGTGGGTGCCAAACCTGCGGGCCAGAACTGGCTCCCAGAGCCGCAAAGATACAATTCACTTCCACTGGCGACCCGAGGAAGAAGGTTCGTCAGCTGTCGCGGCCAAAGGACAAGCGCCGCCCGTTCGTTGCCAGGTTCCCTACCCGTTGCAGAACGGCGGTGGGCGATGGCAAGTCGCGTCGGTTAGTTGTTGGCGGTTGTTGCCCGGTGGTGAAATCCACTCCGCCGGGAATCAACAACGTGCCGCCGTTTGCGGGAGGTAACGTGAAGTGACTTTCAACAATTGAGGCTCCGCCTGGGTTAAGGAGAGCGGCAACTCCATTGGCCCACCGTCATTCACTCGGAGCATGCGACTTTCTTCCTTCAGTTTCCAGCCATAACGGTATTCCAAAGGTTGCCGCATTGCCGCACAGTTCAACACTGCAACCGCATCCACTCGACTGAGGAACGGGGAAGCGCCTAGTTGCTACACTTGTTGTCCCTCGGGTGGTATTTCGGGGCCGACTGCCATTTCTGAACATTCTTTTTCTTATTCCTCCTCCTGAAAGAAAACTCAATATTCTTCGTCATGTCTGCGCAACGAAGAGCTCTGCCAGCATCAGAATGCGTTCATGACAGTAAGAAACACAGTCAATGCCATCCCCACACTTGCTCGCGTTCTGTCGCAGGATTTTCCGGTGCAACCGCTGTCGAGACCATCAACTTGAATCTTGTTTGTTCTCTCATGGGACCATGTGTTCCTCAATGAAGTGCTTGACGTAGAGGAGATATACACCCATTGAGGTTTCCCCATCTCATGATGAGGCTCGCTGGTCATTTCCTAGTTGTTCCATGAACAGTATTATCAAGTCGAGGAGATGTCGACTTGGGGCCCATCGATTATCCAAAAGGAAGGCAGACGGCCGGTAGCCAGCTGTCTCTGCCTCCGGTGGTGGTCCTCTAGGGGCCTAGGGGTCCTTCAAAGAGTACCTCTAGGCACTTGAGAGTGGTGTTGCCTCGAAGTCAGCTCGGTTGACCCGGTATTGCGCCAATCCCTGTCGCTCGCTGGCGCGGCACGTAATCGCATCGGCACAAGGAAATGCTGGCCAACGCGAGCCAGTCCAAGGTGGTACGAGTGCCTTTCTCTAGAGGAGAGACGACAGTCGGTCGTCCAATTCTGGAAAGGTGCCCCGCTTGTCAATCTTGCATTAGCCAAGGTACCCAATTGCAACCATTAGATAGGGGTGACGAAAATCATCTTGGTGACACTGCTCCGGCTAACAAGAGACGCCACCATGTGTAGAAGCAAGTCAGGCGCATCACGAAGCACCTCACAAGCCTAGGGCTAATGAAAGATTGGTACAGCCACAGAAAGAATCCGATGGAGATGGTGGCCTGAAGGCGGGGCAGTTGTGGAAGGTGGTCGAGATGGGACAAAGGGCAGGTGAACCCTCCGAAGGTGCGCCGGTATCAAGTTGAGCCCCGAAGCTTCTCAGCCGCCAGCGACGTCACAACGGCTCTCGATTAGTGTGCTATGTTGCCGCAAGCCTCGTAGCTGTTAAGGCGGGGTTTCCTGTCCACCTAAAACCCCGAGAGCACAGAGGGTGACACGAAGCTGAGTCGGCCTGATCGTCGTGTAGCTCTAGAAACTGAGGCAGCCATTCCGGGCCTTCCCGTCCCGTTGAAGGAGATTGGGAGGCCGTCCTTTGAGGGCAGGGCGGCCGGGACGGTACAGCCGCTGCCAGTATGCTGAGCAACTGCATTTCAGCGGTTGTCACATGGTTTTTCCAGGAGAGCGGAACGCGTCCATCTGGGAAACCCTTGAAAGTTAGTCAAATCTTGATACAAGTGTGAGAAGACAACTTGCCTGCGAGCATGATCAAGCTATCTTGGGGCAAAGGTTGTCTGAAGAGCGCGTCGTACCAGGAGGCCATTGTATCATGTTGGTGTAAGTCAACTCATGAAGCATCGCGATGACGCGTTACAACGGCAAGGTAAGTGGAAGTACTTTGAACTACTTCCGGGACCTGTTCCAGGAATTGGTGCCGCCCAGGTGTTGGCTGCAGGGTTGGGCGACATGTGAGGCTCGCGCTCATCACAATGAGTGCGGTCCTTTGAGGCCTCTTGTGGAAGTCGCACATGGTGGGTAGAGCCGGAGAACACCCGCTTGCCATGGGGCGATGCTCTCAGTTGCGTCAGCGTTTCCAGTGCATCCAGAAGGGAGAGATGATACAACCGGGTGGTACCCGAAGGACACCATGCAATGCGTAGACGACGGCTGTAGTTGGTGATGCAGCACTGTGGCAGCACATTGTCTTATGGAAGGATGAAGATGCTACGTTCTTCGTTCCAGGACCCGGGACAAACTTGAAGCTGAAAACCTTGGACCCCAAGATGCCGGGTGGGTAGCACCAAAGTGTAGACTGCGTTGACGGCTGACGTGAAATGCAGTAGCTGGCAGCAAATAAACCCCATCCGATGAAGGCAGGGGTCTTTCAACAAGGCGTTGTTGGTTCCAGAAAAGCAAGTCTCAGCATCAATCATGTAGTAGCACGCGGTACGTCAGCGATCATGAGCGTCAAGGAGGAAAGGAGGGCCAACCAGGCCCATGGGGGCGACTTGCCATGCTGTCTCGGAGGGGCAGAGCTGATCATCTGGATAGAGTGTGCTTGGTTCCCAATTGTACTTGGAGGGAGTAGAACCTGATGAACAAGCTGTTGGTCGGATGTAGCTCTCGAAGTGGACGAGTGTGAGTGTGAGTGTGACTTGGGATAGTAGACTCAGACAGGTGTGGTAGTTCAGCCCTTCAAGTAATATCACCTCGAGGCGGGAAGCTTGGCACGTTCATCTCTTTTCTGCTGAAACCGTGATGTCTTGCAGACGGTCTTATCCCATTACCTGTCGTCGTTAGAATGGTCAGACAGTCAAAGGGCTCACGGGCGTGGGCATGGGCGTTGGTGTTGGTGTTGGTACGGTGTTGGTGTGAACGGCAAACGCGCGCCCAAAATCGGACATGACACGCTCACTGGGGCCATGATGGCAGTAGAGAAGCAAAGCAGGAGGGACAGAAGTCAAGTAGTATATACGGCAAGGCTATTGAAGGGAAATCATGGCAGATGAAGCCGGAAATCAGCCAGAATTGAAGGCTCGAGCTGACGACATGACGTTGGATGGACGTTGAGCGGATTAGACTTGTGCGCCGCAAATCAGCCCAGTCACAAAATGTCGGCACCCTTTGCATTTGCCAAGACCAGCGCGATAAGACGAAGGCATAGCTTTTTGCGGGGACCGCAGGCTCAAACAACGGCAGTGATTGGTCAGGAAAGCGTTATGCACGGGCCCAGCATAGACGATAATGCAGGAGGAATGGAAGGTACCTGTAGGTACCTTGACGGCCAGGACGATCAAACTGACGATAACGACGTGGACGAACAACAACAGCAACAATTGACAACATTTGATACTCCAATTCGACTCCGGAAGACACTGAGGAAGATGACTCTGAGCACTAGATTGACGTTTGAGTGATGCGGATATGGGATGGCCTACACAGCATCAACGCTAAGCTTCAATCCCTTTTTCTTTACACAGTAACCTTGCTCTACTTGAAAGCAGGTGCGACGAATGTTAGTTGCTCGAGTTCTTTCCCAATGTCATCGGGTTAGGGTGGGTGAAGTTTTTTTTCCCCAGTCCGTCGTTTCAAGAGGCGGGGAAGCAGGTATATCAGGCAGGAACAACTAAGAGGCATATTTCACACTCAAGCTGCCAGTGTTGTCTGCGACTGAAGATGTCTTCAAGCTTCGAGTTGCATAGTCTCGTGTTCCAGGTACCAGGTACCACGGGACGCAAGCACAAAAAAAATCATTGCGAATATGACACAGTGATACTAGGTGCCCGACATAAATCTTCATTATGTCGGGTAATAGAGTGCCCATCGATCCGAATCAGATGTTCGCGGTTGCTGGTTGGACTTCAGTTGAGGTGCAACATCCGATGGCATACCTTTCTGTTAATGGGGCACATCAAAATGCCTCCGAAAGAAGAGGTTCATGAAGGTCCCGCACTAACATCCCCGCCAATCCCCGATGGCTGAAGAAGGATTCCATCACATCGGACATGTGCCCAACCAAAAACATCAAGACCACGCCGGTTTGGAAAAACCACGGAACGAGAGACGTCCATTGTTTGTCATTCTTTGTGCATGTAGTGGGGGGGCTTCTTGGTTTCTTCCTCTTCAGTTTTTTTCCAGCAAGCCAAGCAATCAATGATTCAAACACCTTATTTGTGTTTCTCTGCCTCACCTCGCAAGATGAGCCCCGATCATCATATCATCTATATCTGTAATCAACATACACCATTGATGAAAAATAAAAATTTACGCAACCAAACACAGAAACATGATGCTGACAGTATTGGTTCCTTTTGTTTCTTTTCCGTTCAATACCATGATCATGTCCATCCCCGACATCGAGAAGAACATTGCAACTCACATAACAAGATGTTCTCACGTACACAGTAGATCGATTTATGGAATTCTGTATAGTCATCAAAGAGATACTTTTGAGCGGAAATCCCAACCTCAATGCCCCTTCTCTAAGTAGGTATCAAAATCTCGCTCGTAACTGGAAAAGAAAACCTCTATCTTACACTACGCTATTAACAACACCGAATTCCATCAGCTACTCATCAGCAACGAAACCAGTAGCAAAAAGCTCCAGGTGTACCTTGCTCTTATCCATTCCAAGACCAACCAACACCTTCCTGATGTCCACCATAAACGTCTCGGGTCCGCAGATGTAGTACTCCGTCCTCTTATCCGCCAAATGCAGATCCCGCTCCCCATCCAACTTGGTCAAGTCCATCCTCGTATCCGCAAAATCGTAATGCACGCCGGCCTGATCCGTGCCTGTCACCGTCTTCAAGAACACATGTGCCGACACCTGCTCAGGGTTCTCCTTGACGATGCGCCTCACCTCCTCGCCAAACGGCTGCGTCGAGCTCGACTTGCTCGCATGGATCCACGACACCGGTCTCCTCTTGACATTCTCCTGAAGCAAGCTCTTGAGGATAGCCATCATCGGAGTAGCGCCCACGCCCACCGAGATCAACACAGCCGGTACCCCCTCCTTGCTCGCATCCGCGGGGTCAAGGAAGAACTCGCCCTGGGGATGACTAACCTCCACCTCCGCGCCCTCTTGCATACCATGGAGCAAGTTAGAAACCAGTCCCGGCGCACCGGTCTCCCCCTCCTCCCTCTTGACACTAATGCGATACTCCTCCATCCCTCCCTCCTTCGGCGCCTCGCTCAAGCTGTACTGCCTACTCTGCAAATACCCCAACTGCGAAACCAGCACCTGCACAGAGACATACTGGCCAGGCAGATACTTGGGCAGAGTGGCCCCATCCACGGGCCTCAGGTAAAAGCTCGAAATGGAACTGCTCTCCTCCACCTTTCTCACAATCCTAAACTTCCTCCACCCCTTCCAGTGGTCTTTCTTTTCATTCTCCTCGTACATGCTCCCCTCGACGCCAATAAACACGTTCGCCAAAACTCCATATGCCGCCGTCCAAGCGTCTACAATCTCGGGAGTCGCCGCATCGCCCAGAACCTTGCCGATGGCTTGGATCAGGTATTGGCCGACAATGGCATACTGCGCCGGCTCGACTTGGAGAGACACATGCTTGTGCGCGATGCGCGCGACCGCCTCCGAGAGCGCGGAAAGGTTGTCGATGTAGGTGGCATAGGCGAGGACGGCGTGGGCGAGAGCGCGCGGTTGGGCGCCGGTGGCTTGCGAGGTCAGGCTGAAGATGTTTTTGAGAGAGGGGTTCTCCGTGATGAGGTCGTCGTAGAAGACGGTGGTGATGGCTTCGCCGTGTTGTTTGAGGACAGGGGCGGTGGATTTGACGATGGATATTTGGGCGTCGGTGAGGGTCATTGTGAATGGTGATTGTACCTTTGGGAAGGCCACTGATAGTATGGGAAGGGCAGGTGTGGGAATTATCAGGGATTCCAATTTGGAGTTGAGGGTGTTCGTCTGAAGTTATATTGGAACTTGCAACTTGTAATGATGCTACGTCCGGGCACTTGCCCGAGTATTTATCAGGGCCTCATAACTCTGAGCCCTACAACGGGAAAAGGCATTGATTTTCCTGGTCCCGGCCCAACGGGCGGTTCCTGGCGCAAGGCGGTCGTGGGTTTCCACTTGGAGTCCCGGGTTTTTCCCATCGGCAGCATGTCGCAGGCCATCCCCGGAGTTCTGGAGCCTTTTACGGCGGAGGGGTGGGACCACTCGACACGCGGTACGATGGGGAATGTAATTCTGCCACGTCGATCATGGGCAAATATCGCAGCGGAAAGGGCGAGTGAAGAGAAGAAATGTCTTTCTCCGTGGGCGCCGCGGAGAGAGTCGAGACCGCCACCATCAAGGCTCACATTTCGGTCCCGGGAACGTCGGAGGTGACACGGTCATTGACCGAAAGAAGGCGTCGGTCACCGTCTGGTCCATCGCACCAACCCTGTAGATTGAATGATGCGGGAAATGGTCCTGGAGTAAATCAGCTCACAATTAATAATAGTATGGTTCGAGGCAGCCCACGGAGGCTGATGAAGCTGAGAAAGGGCCGCCTGTTGTAAGCGACCCGTACACCCGGGAATACCCATCAGCGGGGGCGTTCTGTGATCGATCTAGTCCCTTCGAGGTTCGAGACTGCCGTTGTTTTGCGGGAAAGAAAACGTGTACGTGGACCCATCAGCGCTTGAATGATGCATCTCCGCGGGGAAGGGAACTCCCGAACGGGCCCGCTCCAGCTTCAGTTCCAGGGCTCCAGGTACGGCGCCTGGTGCTCCCTGCGCGCCCCCCCCGTGATGGCAATTTGACGGGTGAGAATTAGCAGGCAGGATATTGGTCAGTTCATGCCCCCGTGGTTCCTTTTGTCTTGCGTTTTTTGTATCTTCTCCCGTCGGCGACTACGACTACTTTTGTTCGGTAGGTGAACAACATGGATCGCAACAAGTTCAAGCATAAGACAAGACAACTGCAGATGAGTGACATTGCAAAGAATCGCAAAGCGCTGTGATCAGCCGAAGGCGGTGGCCAACGCAATCAGCGATTGATTTCCCTTTTGTCAGTGCGGGCTGTCCATCTGCCCCTGGGTACTCTGTATCTGATCCCGCAAACACTGCGCGGGTTAGGGTTAGTAATGGAGGTTGGGCGCGCTCTGGTCAAAATTTCATTCGCCTTCTCCCGTCCTTCCGGGAACGACCGACTGGCGCTATGGCCGTCGTGGCTGGCCTTGGCATCACTTAATCTCAACGACATCAGTCCTTTCCGTCTTTCGGCATGTCATGTCCGTCGCTGCTGTGCCTTCTCCTTTCAGGCTACACTGATCGTGCGGGTTTTCCTTGCCCTTCTTTGTTCTTAATGTAAGGGAACTCTGTCGAAATTTGATCCGGCAGTCACAAGAGCGTCCTGGCCACCGAAGGGGCTTCCTTCCATCTTATTATGATTTCTACCATGCACCCAATCACTTGCAAGCGCTTGACACTCAACAGATTCCCTCCAATAATTTCCCAAAAAGAAGGTAATCAACAAAGGGCACAACTGGTTACTCGGTTCATCTGGCCCGATAGCCTGGCCAGTGTACAACTCCGGCGGCGATGTACGACATGGATGGCACACCGTCAGCCTGTTGAAAAGACGGATCCTCATGATTTGCCCCGTCTGAAGACATCAAACTCGAAATCGGATGGAGTGGGAGATGCAGAACTCAAACGCCAGGAACGGTACTTACTACTGACTGCGCTATCCAACCAGAATTGAACTGCCCCTGGTCGTTGGCTGGGGGTGTTGGAAGGTAGGATGGGACGGGCGATTATAAGGCAGAAGTCACTGGCTCGTTAGGGACCGACAAGATGGAAAGTGCGGCTGCCGGTAAGGAGAGGCAGGCAGGCAGCTACGAGCAGACGAGGGCAGGCAGGAAGGCAGGAATGTAGTGGAAGTGGAAGTTGAATGCTTCGGTCCGGTCCTTGGAGGTTCCCTTCGTTTGGCGCCCATTTTTACTTGCTATCCGTCAGGAAAAGGCTTCCTGGGCGTCAGCAATTATGAGCGGGAGCAAATTTCGACTGTCCTCTACCGCCTGCCTTACTGATGCGCTCGCAGGGCCCACTCGGACAACAATCATCAAAGGAGGCTTGTGTGTGGCAAGTAAGATGAATTCAGATGGGTCAATTCTTCTTCATTTTTCTTGCAAAGGTGCAAGTCCGTTCGATAGACGAGTGTCCAAGCAGATGGGGGTTCCGCCTCAAGGCTGTCTCCGAATGAATAGGACTAAGTTGAGGTGTTCTTGCCTTGATGCTACCACATTCCCGTATTTCCAAGCCCCAAATGCGAATTTCAGGTCATTTGACAATGATACCATTACTTATCCCCAGATAGCTTCCATGGCCATCGCAGATTCTCAAGCTTTCCAAAGCGCATGATGCCCAGATGGAGACGAAGCTTTCAGAAATTTCGGCCCCTTTGACCAATCCAAATATTCCCAGTTTCCAAGTAGCTTTGACACAAAGGGAAATAAGTTGAAAAGACGTCATGTTGGACCAAAACCAGCACAAACACATCCACATCTTTCCATGGAAATGTTTGCCGGAGAAGAGAAGCTACAGCAAACCGCAAGAGTCGCAACAGTCCGTCTTGTTCAAGCGCAAGACGCCATGATACAAGCACCACAAGCGATGGAATTTCAAGCAGCAAAGATCGACCCACCCGGCTCGTTTGGCACCTCCTCTGAGTCTGGTAATCCACCGCCAACGAGTCGCGAACGAAATCGTCTCTGGTCGGAAAATTAGCAAGTCAGATGGAAGTAGCAGCATCTTCCATACCAGGTCTCTGTCCCGGCGCTCTTGCAATGTTTGCAATTGTTTGCGCGTTCGACACAGCATACGCTCCGGCTCTGTTGCGTCCATCACACTTGATGGCATGGGAAACAGAAAGTACGCGCAAACAATCGAAAGTCAAAGCGATGAAAACACATTGAGTAGGTGAAAAATGGTTGGCGCGGAGGACTCTGCTCCTGCCTTGAACTCCCTCTGCTCCAGCCGTCAATATGGAAAGATGCGAGCTCCAGAACAGCAGTCGTCTTCAGGAGAACAGAGCACTCGGGTGATTATAAGAAGTCCCTCATTCCCCCGTTTCCCACCACCCGCTTGAACGACAACTCCAACATCTTCTTTTCAGCATCCTCTTTGAACACATAGCATCATTTGACATCTTTGCATATCTTTTGCCTTCTTTTTTCTGATATTTGAGCCAATTTGGCCTTTCAGCGGACAAATCCACTCCTCTTTTCCCATCCACTCTCCACGGCACCTCCCTTACACTGCCATGCCGTCAACTTTCTCATTTCGTGACTCTCTGGATGAACCTCCTCACATCACCCTTGGGAGAAAGGCTTGGCAATGGTACATGGCCAGGAGGCCCCATCGCACAACCACGGAATGTAACCTTTGGAGATGGTAAGCAGGCCCCTTTTCCTCCTTAACTGGTTTGATATGCCCATGTGTTCCCCAAGCTGACTCCCGGCTTTCAACAGGGTTATAAAAGAGATAGGTCCAGGCCGTGAGTGCAAAGATGTCTCTCGCAAGCATAGGCAACGAGAAGGTTGGCAAGTCCCCATCTCTTACCCACCCACCACCGAGGGATACAAGCTTCTGCAGGAACACATCGCCTTCCAATTCGATCAATGGTTCATCAACGAGGCCCACTGCAAGATTCCGGTCGTTTCATCGCCAGAGCCAGAGCCGATCTCTGTTCGGGTCCGCAAGTCAATCTCCAACATCTTGAAGGGCGGTTCGTGGATTTTGGACAACAACGATGGTAAATTGGCTCGCTCTACTGCTTCCAGAGAGGTTACACCAGAGCCCTGTGCCGATTCCAAACACTTCATTCGCACCTCGCTGTATCCAGCCTGGAAGGTTGTTTGCGACTTCCACAGACGTGATTCGGCTGAGGTTTTCTGCTTCGACCTGCCATTCGATCACTCCAATCTGGCTTTTGACATTGTCGATGCCATGGCCAGCTGCCAATGTCCGCAGGCAAATTTCCGCTTGGTGCTAGACAGTTCCAAGTACACCGATCATCAAATGATAGATCTCCTGACGACTGACCGGTCGCTGTCAGCGGACAAGAAGCTGATTGTCGAAGTCACTGACGGAAGCGTCGAGGCTCGGACCACTCTTATCAAGCAGATTGGCAATTTGGCTTTCATCATCGATGGAACCACCAACTCCTGCATCTTGCAAGCTATCCGCGACCCTGCTGTTCACTTCTCTCTCACTGGTAAAAAGGGTGAGGCGCCCAGACCATGGGGGATCTTGAAGTTCATCGTAAATTGGGAGGACAGAGGCTTCTACGAACGCGCCCTCGAAGCGACCAAAAACATACCGAGTGGCCCAGCCCGCATACCACCCAAGCCTACCGCAAGTCCGTCCTTTTCCGTGTATCGCGATTTGCCCGTGCTCAAGTCGACGCAAGGTCTCCCAGTTCCACTACGGCCTTCGCCAACCACCAAATCAGAATCAAGGCCGCTACCTGACGAGGCGGTTCAATCTGGTACTTCGGACGGCGGTGGCTGCGACGATGACCGCTTCAGGCTTTTGTTGGCTTTATGGCTTGAAAGAAGGCGCCCGATCGAAGACATTGTTGAAGAAATTTGTCCAGACTTTGAACTAGAGCCTGATGATCGCCTGCCAGAGGAAGCGAGATTGGAGTTGATGGAGGCATTACTGGATGAGGACTTTGATGATCCGTCTGAAATCCTCGCTGACTTTTATTTTGACACGCATTTTATCTATAGTGAACTCGATGTCGATCAGCGATGGGACAGCATCGGGGCACGCATGAAAAACCTCCAACAAACAAAGCTTGAAGGCGGCTTAAAGGGTCGGATGAGAGGTTCCGAGTCTGCCACATTTACGCCTCAGCAATTGTCCAACCCGCAAGCTTTCTCGACGTGGGATGATCCAGAGCTCCTTCGCGGTGACGAATTGGTGGAGCCATTGGAGCAAGGCGGTGTACTGCTTGAGAACCACTTCGACCGTCGATTCCCTGATATGTTCATTGATCTGGTTTATGACGTTCGGTATCGGTGGATGGATCCCGGGTTCGGTCAGATCTTCAATCCCACTTTCTACTTTTGCAAGCATGGACCTAGTGGATCGAAAGACGACATGGCTAGCTCCATGCCACGCTTCAAGCATTCTTCCTTTGATGTTGAAAGGAGACATTTGCATGATTTGAAGCCGTTAGGAACGACCAAACCTCCTTCGGCCTTAACTGACATCGGACCTACTCAGTCCACACCCTCAATATTTGGGCCTGATCGTCCGGGAGTTCACGCTCTCTCCAAGACCTCGTCTTCACAGTCACAGTCCTTTAGCCCGGACTGGGTGCATTTAAAGCACAGAAGGTCACGGTCAGCTCCGGCTATTTGCCAAAACCAAACATTCACTCCTGTTGGCACAGCAGCAAAGCCGGAGAAGGAACCGTCGTGTTCCAGTGCAACTATAGTTGTAAAGACCTCCGGCCAAGGACCAGAACCTTTAGATCTTTCACCTGAAACACAGAAAGCAGACCCCTCACCCGGAAATAACATGTTCACTGAGACACATTCTGGCCAACGGTATCCAACACCTTGACCAACTACTTCGCCAGGTTACCTTTGGAAGCAGTCCAGGAATTCCACTTCACCGTGGCCAAGCTTCGATTCAACAGCCAAAACGGTGTTCAGGTCCTCACTGGTCAAAGTTCTCGCTCTTTAGCCGCCTCGTTGGTCACTGCCATTGAATCGGTATGTCGCACGACTCAATGTCCGTGGGTGCTTTGGCGTCCCCGCTGACTAGCCCTAGCGAAGGCCGAAACGATTCTCAACATATCCATTGATCCCCTCTCAGAGAGCCTCAGATATCTCCTGAATATCAGAAAGACGGTGTACCTTGAATTCCATTGTGCACATCACCGTGCCAGAAGAGATGGGCCGCAGCGAGCCTAAACTATAGCTCCAAGCAAAGTCCAATCAAGGACTTGTCTCAATGCGCAACATTCTCACTAAGACCTCGCTGTTGTAATTCTAACGATGGAACAAATGGCCCACTGTGGATTTCCACATGAAGATTGTGAATGCGGTTATTCACAAACGCAGTCCACTCTGTGTAGAGCGGCATTTACCTAGACTGTGGGTGTCGTTCTGCTAAGGTCGCTCGACGATCAAGAATATTGGAGGACTGCCTTGAAGAGTATTTCAACAACAAGGTCAACGTTCCCCGGGATAGCGTGGAGGAAAAGAAGGGGGATGACGAAAGGGGCCCATCTACGAGCTCGTCTTCTTCAATGCAATTTTGGAGTCTCATCCTTCACCGATTTGGTTAGCAGACCAAAACTGGCTTTCAGATCGAAATTTAGGCTGCCTTGTTCTCACCCATCGATTCCATCTTGTCATTTCACCTTTTGGACATCTTCCAGTACGGATGCTCCTGGGAAACCCATAAAGCGGAATCAAGGCTCTCTCGAGGTCTGATCAGCAATTTTGTGTTTCTAAGCAACTACAACGGTCCCGGAAACCGCTTGTTTCTGGGGACTCGAGACCACTACCAGGGAATAAGACTCTTCCAAATCAACAGGGAGAGCCGCGAGTTGGCTTTCGTATACTGGGGGAGCCCGCTGCCTTTGTTGCAAGGGGAGCTTCCCACCTATCTGTTCAACTCATACACCGACACCCTGGCTGTTCAGTTGAGCTACTCGCACCGCTCTCGTAACAGAACTGGTCGCTCCGAGATCATCTACGAGTCTTCACCCTATCACCATTTAGGAAACTCCACGCTGATCTACAGCGATAGCCAGGCCATAATTGTCACCAGCGTCAAGAAACACTTCCGATAGTTTCGGTCTCGCATCCGCTGCACCCTTACAACTTCGGCTCCTTTTACATGTCCCCGAGGAAGGACTGGAACTCCTTCAATGACGATAACCCAGAGGCATCAAGGTATGAACCGGCCTACCCTCTCCAAGTCCGGCAATTCTTCAAATCTGCCGTCGGTAGAAGCTCTACCACTTCGCCTTCGTACGAACCAGACGTCAGATCTTTCCACAGCGAACCATCCATTGGCCTTGTGTCCAAAAGCAAACATCATGGATTCAACGAACAACAACCGTTTCACTGGGGGCTTCGGTTCCTTCAACCTGTCTCCCAGGAAAGACTGGAACTCATTCAATGACGATAACCCAGAGTCATTGAGGTTTAAATCGGCCTATCCCCTGCAAGTCCAGCGATTTTTTCCACCGCTCATCTGCCGCTTCGCCTTCGTACGAACTAAGCGTCGGCAAAAACTTTCCCGCCATGGTTTTCCCCCGAGAGATACTCTACCAAATTTTCGAACATATCATCGCTCCGTTTGAAGAAGACCATGACGATAATCTTGTGCCACAATCTTTCAGGGGCAAGGGCATCCGCTTTCAGAGCTTTGGCCAGTCGGCCAACAGGACAGTATTGTATCTCATCCTGAGAATCCTCCACCTCCTTCACCTCCATCACAGGACAGAACAGACGTTGGTTGAGTTGTATGATACGGTATGATAGGGGCGATATCGATAGCGGAGGGAATGGTGGCGTTTGCTGGGCCATCTCAGAGCCATCACTTCGACCTCACATAAGAAGGGTTCTCCAGTCCTTCCTCATTACCCCGGATCTGTCTGTGGGACAGGCAGATCGGTAATGCTTGATGCGTTTTTGTGTTATAGGAAATTTTCTGCCGAAACTTAAAGATCGGAAGAATCATAATATGGTTTGCCTTGTGCCAGAGAATTGATAGACCCCAAACTTTTTAGCTATAGTGGTAAAGAGATAAAGTGAATTGCTTAACAATTTCATATACTGTCTATAAATCAACCCTACTAAAGCACGTAAACCTGCAAGTGAAGTGAAATCTATAACTTTGGTTATCAGTTTTAGAACTTGCACCAGACTGATTCCTCGATTATATTCAAGACTTTGGAAATAAATTAGTACATACGACCATACCCACTGGAAAACTCGGGATCCCGTCCGCTCTCCCATAGATAAGCCAGTGAGGGTCAGACTAGTAGTTGGGTCGGTGACGACCAGCGAATCCCTGGTGTTGTATGTTTTTTTTCTTTTATTTTTCCAATCGTTCTCTCTTTGACATCATCACGTCTTGAAACGGAGATGATGGGCTTCAGGGGTATCCTTTACTATAGTATAAGATATCTTCAAAAGAGATTCTTCTTCGTGGTCTGCAGGTTGTTGTTCGAGGTTTGAAGGTTGAGAAATACTTGATAGAGTTACTTTTCTACGTGTCATGGCCGCCCGCAATAAGCTTCTGAATTCTAACGTTATACTGTCCCCATATTGCGCAGGATGATACTATGGACAACGTAAGAACCTCCCTCGGGAAGTAGAATAGTGGTGGTGGCCTGAATGGTGAAACCGGCGGAAGGGTGGGAGCGTGTCACTTATAGTTTGAACCCCAACGTTCAAAGAACGAGTTCCGTGGTCACTATCTATGGCTCCTCAGACGTTGAAGAAGAAAGTCCTGTTGCCGATGAGGTAGCTCTGACAATGGAAATGACGGAAGGACAAGCCTCGGAGTGATGAAAACGAACCTCGTGCGAAGATGAGTGCCAATGGGAGGGGTTTAATGAGGATACGGGGTAGCAGCGATTTTTGTTATAGGCAGAACAAACAGAGCCTTGATGATTAACATGCTGCTTATCCATTGCAGGTAGTCGGTCCCGGCGTGTTTACTATTAACACAGACGCACCATACCTAAGCAATGAGAAACCAAAGTCGTAAACAGATAGAAAGAACGAATTCAGGATATCAGTGATAATCGTAGTCGACAATTATTGACCTACACAGACATTTCCATAGCAATCGTCTTGTGTGGCTCGTACCCCTTTATAACAAAATCCTCGGCCTTCCACCCATCGATACTACCTCCCTTCTCCCTCTGGATCTCGAGCGTCGGGAACTCCCTCGGCTCACGCTCCAGCTGCGTCTTGAGCGCGTCTACATGGTTAAGATAGACATGCGCATCGCCCATCACATGGGTCAAGCTCCCCGGCACCAAGTCACACACGTGCGCGAGCATGTGCGTCAGCAGCGCGTAGCTGGCAATGTTAAAGGGCACACCCAGTCCCATGTCGCACGACCTTTGATACAATTGGCAGTGCAAGTGGCCCCTTGGCTTCTCTTTTGGTGTGTTTAGTTCCCCCTCCTTATCCTGTGCCTGTGCACCACCCCGTGTCCTCGACCCCGGGTACGACACATAAAACTGCGCAAACATGTGACAAGGCGGCAGCACCATCTGGCTCATGTCCTTGGGGTTCCAGGCACTCAGAATCAGTCTGCGATCGTACGGGTTGTTGCGGAGAGTGTCGATGATGCGCTGGAGTTGGTCCACGCCCTGCCCGGTGTAATCGGTCTCGCAATCGACGTATTCGGCGCCAAAGTGTCGCCATTGGAAACCGTATACGGGACCTAGGTCACCTTCTTTGCGGTGGGAAAGACCGAGCATGTCGAGAAAGGCGCGGGAACCATTGCCGTCCCAGATTTTGACTCCCTGGGCGGAAAGCGTGGTGGAGGAGGTCGAGGCGGAGATGAACCAGAGGAGCTCGAGGAGGACGGCTTTGGTGAAGACTCGCTTTGTGGTAAGGAGCGGGAGGATGGGGGTGTAGGTGTAGTCTGGCGATGACGGATCGGAGGAGGACCCCGAGGAGGATGAGGAGGGTCGGGAAAGGGCGAAGTTTAGAGGGGTCGGGGCGAAGATGGAGTAGGTGCCTGTTCCTGTTCTGCAATGAGAAGAGGTGGGAGGTGGTCAGCTGGGAATGGAAATGCGAGGATAAGATGAATTAGGTTGGAGAGATGATTGGAGGGGAGACTGAGCGTACCGGTCTTCACGGAGTTCACCTTCGTCCAGAATTTGGCGGACGAGATCGAGGTATTGGTATTCTTCGTGACGCCTTGTTGTTGGGTTGGTGCGAGAGGAGGGCTGCGACGACGACTGCGATTGCACTGGTGCAACAGGTTCGGATGTGGTGACTGTCATTGTTGTATATAAAGTCGCGAGAGTGTCGAAATAATTTAGCTACTTTTTTTCGGATTCGTAGATAAGTTGCGACGATGCCAATTCTTCCTGCCCTGGATATTGGGAACTTTTCGGGAGACGCGTTTAAAGCGCGACTCAATTTAGTCGCTGAGATTACCCCACCCCCACTATAGTTCCCACACTCAAACGCCTGTGCAGTCTTGGCGGATGTGTGCGTGTGCACACACACGCGACTTTTTGGCAAAACGGACCATCGAAACGAAAGACGAAGATAAAGGAATTTAATTATCCTATATAAGAGACTATTCTCTTGGTAGTCTCAAGTACGCTGATTTAGAATCTTGAGTCGGTTTTCTTTTATCTCTTCGTTTAGTAGAAATATAAGCAAATAAAATCTCATTGATGGTCCGTTTTGCTAAAAAGTCGTGTGTGTGTGCACACGCATACATCCGCCAAGACTGCACAGGCGTTTGAGTGTGGGAAAGGTGGGTTTGTGTGACAGGCACCAGCAGCACGTGTTTTCGCGTCACCTCGTTGTTCAAATCAATGTTTGGCACAACCTCTTGTCTGGCAACGCGACTACTACTTTCTAGTCGGGATTGAAACACGAGAGCGGTAGGAAAACAAGGCGATGACCAGAAGAATTTTTTCAGATTCAATCACTTAAACTCATCCTTAATAGCTTCGGAGTGGGCGTGCGAACATCCTCCATCATACCGACGTATACCTTGATCGTTCCCGTCCGAGACATCTTGGTTTGGCATGATGGATCGTGGCAAGCTACCCCGGCAGAGGCTGAAGCTGCACTGTCTAGACACAGGTATGTAGTTCAGTGATCTTCGACGCCTGCAGCTGTGGTTGAAATGTGCTTCTCACATAATTTTAGCCGACCGACAGACGCGCAGTGACTGCATGAGAGTGATGAATTTTCACTGGTCACTATGAAGATGCTACACGATGAGCATCTACCGTGACAGAAGACGCTTTATTTTCTCTTCTCTCCTTGCAAAGGCAGCTAGAAAGATATATTCAGGATGACCTCATATCTTGAACTAACAAACTAACTCGACCAAAAACACGCAATCCGTCAATCAACATATAATCAAGCAGTAACCTCTGCTTTCTTCTCATGAATTGGCAAGTCCTTAGACTCCGACTCGGACTCCGGCTTCCTCTGCGTAAAGTGTCTCGGCAACCGGTTTTCCTCTTGGGTGTACAAGTATCCGGCCTCCGTCCTCGCCATGTCGTTCACCCACTGCTCATTGCCCTTCAATCCACCCTTGCCACTCGTCTCTACGCCGACTTCGGTCCACTTGGCAGCCAAGTAGAACCAGGCAAGCGCGTTACCGACAGTGCCGACCTCATCAGACACGCCCGTCCGTGCCGCATGGTGCATTCTCTTCCAAAGCTCATTATCGGTGAACAGCTCCATCAGATGACCAGCCACGGCACGCCAGTCACCAGGGGCGACAAGGAAACCATTGACCTTGTCCTTGACCTGTAGCGGGATACCGCCAACGTTGGTGACGATGACGGGTCTGCCGGCGTGCAAGGCCTCGGAAACCTTTACCTCGAAGCCTTCACGGGTGGAAAGCTGCAACGCGACGTGGGCATTGGAGAGCAAGGTGTTGATGACCTGGTCGTTGGGCTCCAGACGCATGACGCTGACGTCCCGAATCAGGTCGGGGTAATATGTCTCAAGCTGGGCCATGGTCTGATCGTAGATGAGGGAGGCGTCGGGGTCATCGACGGAACCATTGCCGCACACAACGAGCTGCGGCACGTCAGTGATGCCGGCTTTGTCGCAGCGGCGACGGAACTCAGCATACGAGTCGATAACGGTGGGGATGCCCTTGGATGGGTCGAAGCGGGCCACCTGGATGATGTACTTGCGGGCGGGCCAGTTGAGCTCCGTCATGCGCTGCGAGTGGCAGGCGTTGTTGTACAGATTACCGTAATAACCCGAGTCCCAGTGGTTGAGGTGCTTGTTTAAGCCGTCAAGCCAGTCGGTGGTGGCTGGCAAGTAGACGACCTTCTCGCGCGGGACGTTGTGAGGGACGAAACTGGGAATAGGGTGGCTGATAAACATGTCGGCGCCCTGGATGTTGCCCCACAGGAAATCCCAGATGTCGGCTTGAGGCGAACCGGCCTTGGCGACGAGGTCGCTGCGAATCTGGATGTGCGAGCGGTAGAGAACGGGGCGGTTAGGGGTATACTTTTTGATCAGGGGGATCAAGCCGGGCATTTGAGGGTCATCAATCACGACAATATCAGCACCGCCTTCCTCGGGTGCACGCAAAGGTCCGCCCTCGGAGAACCAGTATCGACTGGCATTCTCGTTAATCCAATCAATGATGGCCTGCTTCTCTTCGGCAGATACGCGCTGATCGGGATGGCTGACACCCTGCAGGATGTTGTGGATGTTTTTGGTGATGCGAAAGACACCGGGTCGTGGTTTTGGCACTGAAACAGTGTTAGTTGACCGTCTAGCGTTCCGGACAGCAAACTGCTTTACTTACCGTACCAGGTGAGGTCGACACCCAAAAGACGAGCAAAGCGTACAAGAGCGTGCCGCATAAGTGCAACACCACCGCCTTGGGGTGTTGAGCTGAAGAAGGCCATCTTGAGCTTGTTGGCACGAAGCTTCTTGGCAAATGTCAGAGTGGTTTCCCACGTTGCCGGACCGCATGTGTCTTTGTGGTTCTGGACGGTGGTAAGGTGGGCGCGGAATCCAGCATCGGTTTGGACAATGCCTCGGAATCCGACCTGGAGGAGTGGAACGAGGGAAGGGCCAAAGTGCCTAACAAGCTGTCAGTATGCTCTTCGGGGTGTAGCTGACAAGAGAAGGGGGGGCCCTTACATGATGCACTTTCGGGCCATGGAATCGGCTTGTTCATCGACTCGCTTGACATCCCAGAAGGTCGCTTCCTTGTGCTCATCATCTGGGCGCATAACGATGGGCACAATATCCACCTCGAGCCAGAGCCGCGAACAGAGAGTTGGGCTCATGTACTTGAGTGTCGTGGGGAGACCAGCACCGACGAACTTGGAAAAGTTCTCGTGCTCATACTTTTGCACTTCGGAGATGACATATTCTGCGATGAGGTCCTCGCCCATTTTCAGGGCGTCATCGAGCTCAATGTGCTTGACTGAGAAGTCAACCAGGTAGACTGTGTCATGAATGGCCAAGGCCACAACGGCCGTATGGTCATCAGCAAACACGGCAGAGATACCAAGATAGAGCGTCTATGGGACATCCGATGTTAGCATGAAACGTCGACGCAGTCAAGCAAGCCGTGGTGGGCAAGGTACTCACAGTTAGAGCAGGACCAAAGTGACCCTCCTTCTCCACCAAAGTGCTCATCTGGCGCTTACGGTGCACCGAAGTGCCCGTGGAGAACTTGCGGGCCTTTTCGAACGCCATGACTGCGGTTGCGATGGGCTTGATGCTGTGGTGATGGGGGGCAGCCGACCGGGTATCGTAGGTCTGGGTGTTGTCGCCGCTAGGAGACGTGTAGTGGCCGGTGTTGGCCTGGAGGTGGTCGAGGTGTTGTTGCTTCTGGAGCTGATGAGGAAGGGAAGGTCTGGAATTATACGCAACAGTGTCGCTGGTGGGGGCAGGCGTCTGGTCGGCCAATGGATCTCTGGGCTGAAGATTACTGAGAAGCTGCTGGACGCCAAGCGAAGGGGTAATCCGACGCGAGCTGTAGGGCCCGGAAGTATCATTCAACGGACTTGTAGGGCTTTTTGTGTCGGAGCGGGACGAGTCGTTGTCATTCGAGGCCGGGTGGTGTGGGGTGGTGTCTGCGAATGGATTTTTGAAGGCGATGCCGGCGCTCGCGGACTCGTCGGTCACGGCCTGCTTGGGTTCCCTATCAACCATTGCATCCAATTGATGGCTTCACGTTGCACTGCACGGTAAGTAGTGGCCTTGGGTGGGTGGTGTGCAGGTTCTGCAGTGTTACTTCCACTTTTTGATTAAGTATTGGGAAGTCTCTTGGCGGGCACGACCTGGGACACGGAAGGTGGAAGGTGAGGTGGTGACGCAACACGTGCGGGTAGTGCATTGTATGGGTTGCCATCCACCACCTTTGTCGCTCTCGTTTGGCTAAACCCCCGGGATTCCCTCCTTCTTTCCCGTCTGGCCATCTGCATTGTTTGGTTGATCCTTGTCAGTTTCCGACTCTCGTTCAATGATCAAGGCGGGGTTCCCTCTTTTTGGACCTCTACCTCTAGACCCCCGGTGACAGCGGTACGGGCACGGGCATATGAGGCTGTCGGGTCTTTCTGTTGTCTCCTCCTTCAACTCCTTCGATGTCTTACCAAATCCCTCTTTCACATTTACGGTGTGACAGTTTCAGTTTCCTACTTATTTCAATGACACCGGCCACACAAGTGTAAGTGTGATTTCGGAGAGTTACCTCGCAAAAGTTTACCTCCCTTGTCCGAGGGCAATTGCCACCTGTGATGACTGCCAATGTTACAATCTGAAATTGCCTGGACGGCTGCCGATCGCTTGCTGCCAAGTGAAGTCTGTGGCTCTTTGTCGAGGTACAACGGGGTTACGCTTTGAAGTTCAGGGTCGACGCTTGTCCGTAACACTCTACTTGGTATTTCCCCAGACGTGGTGGCAGCTGATCTCGACGCCATCCCACCACCCCACTGGGAGAAGGTGTCTGGAAGCTGTGAGGGGCGGTGTTGTACGGCATGGAAGCCAAGGAGAGCTGTCCCGGTACGAATTGCTCTTTGCATGAGATGTATAATGGGCACAAAGGTCGGTGAAGGAAGGAAAGCAATCACCGCATCACAACGTGATAGCCGTTGTTTTCCTTTCGGGCCACCCGCAGCATCCGGCATCGTTTCTTGGTAGAAGAGGCATGTCTCGCGGGGGGAAAGCTGTTGGACGCCGGGAAACGGGTGATGGCTGAGGTGATCAAGGAGAGCCAGTGCACTTGCAATGTTTCGGATAAAGTGTTATTGGTTCAGACAAAGTCACCTGGTTGTCAAGCTCTAACCTGTGTCTACCTGAGATCCCGGGTATATCGGGGC